TTTAATGATTAATATTATAACAAATTAAAAATATTATATTTCTTTCCCCATTTTCCCCTAATTTCACCAATATTGTTATGCGATTAGAACTTAGTAACCAACTACCATAATGCAGCAAAACTGACGAGTTTACTAAGTATAGCCATACTAGCAGTATATCATAAGAAATCCTTCTGTAGTTTGAATAGTGTAAGTCCCATAGCCAAGTTATGAAATAAAAACGGGAATGTTTTACGAATCCGGTCCAACCGTCTGATCAATGTAATATTCACTGTAAGGTTTATATCTTTAATTAAAAGCTCTGAATATGGAACGTTTTCATTGTTGTCGACCAAGAAAATCTTTAAATAAACTTGGTTTGATATTTCTTGCTGCGCAATTAATAAGAAATAATAACATCGCCAATTCTTATACGTTTCTATTTTGTCACTGTACCATACAATTTTACAACGTTATGCTATCTCATACGAAATTATCTGATAGGGCATGCCTGAGAATCTCGTGTTGCGTATTTTACTTACCCGTATTGAAGTCCAGGGCAAACTCCTCAAAATCATTACCCTTAGTAATGCTGTATATGAGTTTGCGATTTAGAGGTGACTCAGCTTGAATGGATAACGCCAGAGGTGAATGCACTTCTATACTCTCGAGCACGCTATCCGTATAGAATTGCTTGTCAAATACCGGCATCGAACGATCTATCACCTTCACGTTGACTGGCACCTCAATGGAGCAAGGCGTTATTCCTGCAATCATATTTAGAAGCTCATTTAAAACGGGATCAAGCGGAAAGCGAGTTATTGACTTTGGATTTAACGAACTTACCGCCGTCGTACGCGGCGATCGTAAGCTGGTATTCGCGATTGTGACCTTCGAGGTTCTGCTTTAATGATATTTCACCGGTTTTCCGGCACACCTTGAAGAGTTCCCCGTGACCCTTTTTCAATTCATATCTCACTTCGCCATTATCGCCACTATCCATGTCTACCGCATGAACCTGTATGATAATAAAAACATTTGGTATCCGTATATACAAAATTTAACCAAAGGTAAGATTGAAAAAAAAAAAATATTATTCATGTATTAAGAAATCTCTCTACCTTTGTGATGATGTCGCCTTTTTGAGCGTCGACAGAAACTACAGCATAGTAAGGTAAATTAACGAACATTGGACAATTGTCGTTGATGTCAAGTATAGTGACGTTCACTATGACGTGAGCTACCCTGGGCTTCTCTCGATCCGGCGGATGGCTTTTCGCCTCGACGATTAATTCGTAGTGATCGCACACTTCTCGATCGAATCGTATGCCGTTGGTCCTGATCGCTCCGGAGGTTGGTCCGATGACAAACATGTCGGTGGGATTAAGAATGCTGAATATAATGTGCTCATTCAATGAACTACCAAGGACGTTTACTACCACTACGGTTGCAATCTTCGTGGAGTTCTCCAAGATGGCACCTTCATAGACATTCTTTTGGAAAATCAAACCGGAATTCTCCGATTTTTCTACTATCACGTTCACCTGCGCCACGCTCGAGTACTTGCCGTCTGACACTCGCACGTGGAGAAGATAGTTCTTCTTCATACGATCGGGATTATGGACCGTAATAATGCCGCTCTGGGCATCTATATCAAAGGTATGAGCCTTATTCCCATCGATGATGTCATATCTAGATAAGTATAAAACGCATTATTCATCAAGTAAGTCAGATGCAAAAAGTAAAATATTTAGACTAACTAGAGAATATCGATAATGTAATAAAAATGACGGATTAATTAATTCAAATCTACCGTAGTCGAAAATGTTATGATTTTGAAAAAGTGTGATTATAAAAATATATTTTTTTAAATCCGCCAATTTGAAATTTACCTTTCCAATAATATAAACAGTGCAACGAATGTAGTCATTATTATAAATTATAAACTAAGAGTGCATTTAATACTAAATACAAAACAAGGATCTTGACAGCTAGAAAGCTGTCAAGCCACTGATGTTTCAGCAGCACGTACCTCAACGCGGCTCCCTCGGAGCTGTCAGGATCCACGGCGTTCACCCGAGTGACGGCAACGTTCTTATACGTCGGGAGCAGAAGCGTGACATTATAATCAGTCTTGGAGAACTTGGGCGGACAATCGTTAACATCTGTCACAGCTATCATCACTTTGGCAGTGGTCTCGGATGAGAGCTTCGGCTTGCCTAAATCTGAGACCTTTACGTGAAACGAGAACATCGGTATAGTCTCGTGGTCTAGCAGCATGACTGTGCGTATGGCACCGGTGCTGGAATCTATGTGGAAGTACTTTCGCGGTAGATCCTCGACAATATCATAATTAAGCAGCGCGTTTAACTCGGAATCCGCATCTTCGGCCTTGATGACTAACGGTGCGCTCGTGTTGGTCAACACGAGGGAACCGATGCTCGCACCTTCGCTGATTTCCCCGCTGTACTGAGCCTGCAGGAAACGCGGCGCGTTGTCATTCCTGTCGAGCACGTGAACGATGACATTGCAGGTGGCCGAAGCACCGGCCATGTTTGTAGCCGACACCGTCAAATTGAAGAATTTAGTTTTCTCGTAGTCCAGCTCATTCTTGATGACTATCACGCCGGTGCTCGGATTCACGAAGAAGGTGTCGTCGCGATTGCCGCGCACGATCTCGAACTGTAACGACGACGTACTCCGCGCCTCCACGTGTTTCACGTACGTGCCAAGCTGTTGGTTCTCATATATCTCCGCGGACAGCTCCTTTTGAATGAAGCGGGGCGACGCGTTGTCCGCCATTGTCACCATCACATGTACCGGCACGGTGTTCGCCAACGCGGGAGAACCGTGATCGGTCGCCTTCACGAGAAGGATGTACTCGGAGGAGATGCTGAGGTCGAGCTCGCGTGCGACGCGGATAAAACCGAGATCCGGATCGATGGTGAACACATTGCCGACATTCCCGGACGTGATCGAGTACGTAATCTTGGCGTTCTCTCCACGATCCCGATCGATCGCACATACCTGTACCACCGCTGTTCCAATTGGCGAGCTCTCGTATACCTTTCCCTGAATGATCTCGCTGATAAACTCGGGCGCGTGATCGTTGTGGTCGTGCACGGTGACGATTACTCGAGCGTAGTTGCGCTTGGCTGGCGTGCCCTGATCCTTGACCATCACCGTCAGCACGTGCTCCTCGATGGTCTCCCGATCGAGAGGCTCGTTCAACGTAACCGAACCCAAAACCGAGTCCACGTGGAAGATCTCAAGTGAGGCCTGAGTCTGTGCCGCGTGCAGGCTGTAGAAGACCTTCTTATCCTCGTCCTCATCGGTCGCGTGCAATTGCAGGATTCTCTCGCCCTTCTCGACATTCTCTGAGATGTCGACGCGATATGTGGTCTCGGTAAACTCTGGTCGGTGATCGTTGATGTCGATCACTGTAACGAGTAGCTGCGTCAGCGTCGTGTGCACGCCGTCGGTTACGCCGATCGTAAGATTGTAAAAATTTTGGGTCTCCCAATCCAGCTTCTTTGCAAGCAGCACGTTACCATTGTCGCGACCGATGAAGAACTCGTCGCGCTTGTCGCCGTCTAAAATGTGTCGATAAAAAATTCAGGATGACTTTTGTGATCTCTAGCATTTAATCCCATAGTAGATACGGGACTTTCTGCATCTTTATCTAAAGGATGCACGGAATATTAATCTTGATCAGTCTTTATTTAATTATAAAGAAAATAATGAAACTGATATATAATGTTAGGAGTGTAGGAAACATGTTAAAGTCCTTATGTTAAAATAATCACGCGAATAATGTGTATCTCTTCTTACCTAAAATATCGTACCACAGGGAATCACCGTCTTTGTCATTGGCTTGAACGAGGGCGACTAAAAAGCCCACTTCGTCGCTCTCCGTGATTCCTACGCTTTGATTGTTTGTTTTGAATACTGGAGGGTTCTCCGATTCCTTCGGCGCTTCCACAACTTGAACAGAAACTCGGGTCTGATGACTACGCTGAGGCTCGCCGTGATCGGTTGCTCGTATCTGCAGAATATACAGAACGTAGAAATTCCCATTCAAATCGAGTTTACATTGTAGAAATACCGGATATGAATACGAGTATGGTACATTATAAAGTCAGAACCTAAGATCCAACGTGATGTAATATAATGCAAATTTACTGCAATTTCTTCTTGCCTCAACATTTTTTCTTTACGCTCCAATTGTTACACAATTTAATACTGCTTTACTTAGTGACAAACAATTGAAGAGTTCTTTTTTCAGAAACTAAAAAGAATCATACATAAACAAGTCTAAAAAGTTAAATGTTTAAAAAACAAAAAACTTTTTATCTTTAAACCGTTCTTTGTGTAAATATAATAATTTTCCTCCAAATATATAAGTATAAGATCAAAATTTAAGTTTTCAAATTTTAAGTTTTAATCGATATTTTGAGGACTCGTATAAAAAAGAAAAATTAAAATCCTCTGGACTTGTTCGATTTTTGCGAAAGTTTTATATTTATCACCTATTTATCTTATAATGTATTACATTTATCTTTTTTATAACATTAATAAAATTATCAGCGCTTGCTAAACTACTTTACCTCTTGTTTATAAAAGAACTTGTTTTATTTTTATCGGAAAAGCTATGAACGACTACTTTCGTTCTTGTAAAATGAAATGAACTCTTATATTTTTTATTTGAATCTTGTCAGAAAATTGTTTACGATACTGATAGAAAACGGTTTGGTGCCACAACCCAGGTATTAAAAAAAATGGATTTATTTGGTTTTTTGTAGAAAAAATACTTTCAATTATGTATCATATTTTACCTACTATTTTATCTTTATGCTTAAAGATTCTTTTTCACGACAGGAACATGTCGCGGTCATAACAGTCTGTAAAATTCGGATTTTGCGTGAGTATCAGTAGACAATTATTTTACGTTATATATATAATAGTAATTTATATGAGAGAGAGAGAGAGAGAGAGAGAGAGAGAGAGAGAGAGAGATTACTCTGAAATTTTGCTTTCTGTTTTTAATTACATAGAAATAGATGACATTCCCTATCTCTCATGAAAAAAAAAACAGTTATTTATACCAGTAAAGTATTTTTAATTAACAAAAAAAAGTCCGATTACCATCATTTCATATTCTTGACCAGCCTCGAATCCACGCTGAGAGTACACCATCCCCGTGGTGGGATGAATTTTAAATTTGCCTTTTCCCCGACCGCCTTTGATGCTATATTGGATTCTCCCGTTGTCATCAATATCTTGGTCGTGTGCAAGAACCTAAACGCAAATTTTGAGAATTATTTTACTGCCATCACCTTACGATAACCCATCTACTACGAGACGAAAAGTTCAGCACGAAAAAAACGTTAGTATGCTTCGTACAATCTATAATCGAAAGAATGCTGCGAACAAGAATTAACGTATTCGATTTCGAATTAACGAAAATTATGTAAATAATAATTAACGTCGTTTAACATAAACATTTCTATGGAAAAAAAAAACAACAAAAAAACGTAAATGCTCGTATCAGCGCACAAGTATCTCTTTAAAAAAAAAAATCTTACTCTCTTTTAACTAAAGACTGACATTTCCAATAAGAGAAGGAATTTTATTTTTGGTCGAAGCGAATCTTAATACTTAATATTTATATATGTAAATTTACAAATTAGGTACATGTTACCTCCGAATCTATATATAAATATTATTAGATGCCAATATAAGATCCACTTCAACCGAAAGTAGAATTCTTTTCTCTTATCGATCTAATCTTCCATTTAAAATTGCTTGGAAGACACTTCTTTCTATACAATCCTCTAAACGCAAAATGCATATACAGGCTCGCGAGACACAGAGATAGATGCAGCTTGCGCAATTACGTTCCTTACGGCGTCCTGGAAAATAATGAGCCTTCGATCGAAGCGCAAGTGTGGCATAATCCGCATGCGGTACATTGAGAAAGAGCTAAGACCGTCGTGATAGCAAAATGCAGCAGGCTCCTTCAGTTTACTGCGGCTGTGCCTTAAGCGTGCTAACGATCGCGATCGCGGGGTGCCGCAGATCCTAGAGAACGGTAGAGCCGAGCGGAAACTGTTGTGGTGCATGCACGCTCCCGCGAGTACATTCGCGTGTTATCCTCTCGGTGAAAACAGACGAGTCCAGCGTGTACGCGGAAAAAATATAGTTGTCTATGCATTAGCTTCCGGTTGCTTCTCCGGTTGTATCTCACGTTCTTTCCACGAGTAAACATTTTTCTCCCCTGTACACCGCCGGCTCGTTTCTTGCTGCACCAGTAAGGCGATTGCGTTTCTCCTTCCGGCATCTTCCTCAGCGCGGAAAAACGGGCAATCAAGGCGCGATAAATTTGACTAATTACTTGTCTGAGACTCAAGCTGCGCGAAAGGCGTTGAGTCCGTGTCTTGAAGTCTCTCTTGAGCGCTGCTGGCTGGTTCTTGGTATTCTACATACGCATCTTCGCAGCATGCCACCGTGCCTGCGTTATTCGCAATCATTTTCAAACTCTTCTCGGCACGCGAAATGATACGCAGATCACAATCCACGATAACTCGTTCCACCCTATTTCTCTTCAGTCGCGCGAAAAATTTCGTAAACGCGACCGATCCTTGCTAACCGTAAGATCCTGATGTGCAATTATTAGTAGCGATAAGATAACGGAACATTCTCAGGCGGCAGTTTCGCATCGTACGATAAGGCAACATTCAGGAGCGCAATACACATAGACGAGCACAAGAGAGAGAGAGAGAGAGAGAGAGAGAGAGAGAGAGAGAGAGAGAGACATGAATTATCGGATAAAGAGAGAAGGAGATGCGAAGAGCAGGAACTGAGAGATAGATAAGACGCGCGAGGGTGAAAAGGGGTGCAGCCAAGAATGCCATGTTATATGTATATACATATAATACATAAAGACTGTGCGCGAGATAGGATAAGACATTCAATTAACCCTCGAATGGTCGCGCGCGAAAGCTTGATTATCATATAAAGAGTTGTATAAATGTCCATCCTTATAATTGCCGACTTTATTGGCTACAGTCAGCTTCCGGAAGTAATTCGATTACGCGCGACCAATCGAGGTGCGATCGATTAAGTGCGTGTACACGCAAGTGATCCGTCCTATCGACGGGCACAGAGCAGTAGCAGGAGAGAAAAAGATACATGTGAAACATAAACATGCACGGAAAGAACGAATTTGCTTGAAGTGCCTAAAAATTCAGCTAGGTAGAAATCTGAAAAGAATTTTGTTGGAAAATTCAAAGACAATTACGTAGAAGTCTCAAGTAGAAACCCTCAACTGAGAGTTTGGACATTCAGTAGTCTGCATGAGACAAAAATATGGCGGCATTGTAGACTATATAAAACTTGTGGAAGTCTATATACTCAGTCAATGAAAACTCATTGCCACCATATTCGTCTCGAGTGTGATGCGAGCAATGCGAAGAGTTTTGACATTCCAGCAATCAGCTTGAGCGTTTCACATCATTATTTTGATGATACCTAATAAAATTATTTTCAGATCTGTATCTAGCTAAGTTTGGAGATGCCTCAGCAAAAACTGTTCTTTGCGTGTGAATGAAAACGTACAATTGGCATAAAAGCGCTCGTGAATCAACGCAAGTGGCCCGAGTAAAAATGAAATAATCCGGCCAGTCCCGCATAACGAAATATAATATAGAAACTATACAAGAGCTATTGTATGCTCGCGCGCCAGGCGTTTATTTTACGTGCCAAGGTGTCCTTACCCTGAAGATACGATCTCCTGACAAGGTGTCGGGGCTAAATGTCTCCCAAGTCCCATTCTCTAGTAACGTATCGATCGAAAGGTCGAACTCCCGCGAGCGGTTCCTCGATTTCTGTCGAGAACCAGAGACGACAGCTTTTAGCCTCAGGACTGTTTCCATCGACCGAGCGATTCGAATCTTTTTTCCTCTCCCCATCCCCGACGGTTATACGTGTCTGCGCTTTCGATCGTTTATCCTCGTTATCCTTCTTCCTACCCGCGACGACGTCGCCGATTTCGCATCGCCCGAGAAAAACTTGAAGCCCATTCAAGTTTCCGACGTAATAAAGCCGCGCGAAAACCTTAACACTTTGCGGTGCTCCACATTCTTTTAGATAGAAAGGTCTGATATTTTTGCATAATTACTTTCACACGTGTTTTCACTTCACATCGGCATGATATTGCTTTTTCCGTGTCACATACAATAATCGCAAATATTAATTAATATGTACTTCGTGCGTTTTAATTTATAACTTTTTTTTAATTCCTTTTTTTTTATAAACGAGATTAGCAGGTAAGATTTTCCTAACGCAAAGTTGATCCTTTTGCTTCAAAAAATTCATTCTTTGTATTTTTCAGAACACCGTGTCGCAATAAAAAGCATTTTTCCCCGCGTTTTTCTGTCTCGTCGTAACACGACGCGGATTAAACACATTACGGACATGTATGGTATATAGCTGTGAACATATAACGTTAATATTTATGTCATCTGTGTGTGCGCGTGCATGAGGACCGGACCGACTGTAATAAAAATTAGCATGTTTTACACGCACTCTCCGTATCAGTTAAGACAAACTTTGCATTTTTAATTATCTCTCTACGACAATTAGTGTCCATTTCCATCAATGTAGATTTGTAGATTAACTTTAATTGGGGTTTAATTTACTCTTTATCTTTTTCAAATTCTTGAAAGAACTATAGAAAGATAACAGGTAAGTTAAACCACGATTAAAGTGTTGTATTGATAGAATGGACATTAATCAAATACAAATTAAAAAGACTTTTTCTTCTTGCTGTTACTACGTGACAAATCTTGCGATCGTGCCTAATTGCACTGATGGATTCACGGGGGGAGGGGAGGGGGGGGAGGAGAATCATGGGACCCACACCTCTTAGAATCTTCATTTTTTTAAATATTTATAATAATTATGTTATATATATTTTTAATATTTTTGAAATGCTTCATCCCAATTTTGATATTTCAAAAGTATTTTTTAATTTAAGAAACTCGTAGACATAAAAAACATAGATGTTAATCATTCTTTGTGTTAATTTAATTAAAAATA